CGTTTTTTTAAATTAATGTATTCACTTTTTTTAACGTCCCACTGCTTGCCTTTCGCGCTGGTCTAGTTTAATATGAATAAGTAAAATAAGTATATGAAATATTTGCATAATATTATTATTTTTTCTTTAATTTATCATATCATCTTCTTTGCAAAACAGACTGAATATTATATAATTAGTACTATATTTTAAATAAAACTATCTTTTCGGATTTTGTCGCGGATTTATTTAATCCGAAAAGATAGTTTTATTTAAAATGTCAAATATTCGCGTAAATCTAAGAAAGTATTAATTAGTACTATATTTATATGTATACATAATATAATAAAATTCTGAGTCGAATCTGTACACTCAATATTTTTTGAAAAATCTTATTGAAAAAGTCATTATTATCGATAGAGAGGCTGAATCTATAGTTTTTAGAATTATTGTCTGTCTGTCTGGGAACGTATCACGAGAAAACCACGGGATAGATTTTACTGAAATTTGGCATGATGATACCTGGTTATACGGGTCAACATATAGGATAATTGTTACAGCGGAAAAATATCTCATCTCTGAGAAATCTTTACTTAACGTTAAAACGTAAAGTCGCTAGTACATACACACATAAATAAATTGAAAGAACTCAGTGCCACATTTAATCTTAGAAAGTGTATTATCATAAGAAATGTTTACTGAAGGGACATCGAATCTACGACCTCTTATGTATTTTACGTCAGTTATGTACCCAACTACGATGTGACTAGCATAATTTTATTCATGTCATACTTTGTGACAAGTGAATATCGCTCATGCCACTTCTATTGTTTTGTTCTGAGATCAACTGGACTTACACTGAAATGTCCAGGGAGACCATTTATAAAGTGCCTTGTTGTAAATTTTTAAAGCGCATACAGATGCATTTTTTACTACTTTCATATCCGGTTGTTATTTTAAAGAAAAAGAAGATATAAATGTAATGTTACAGTATAAATGAAAATGAAATCACAAAAATATTTTCTTCTATTTTACTAATAATAATATGTGAGAGCGTGTTACTTTGTTTAGTTTTGACTTGTACCGACTCAGTACTCTTTATCTCTCTCTCTCTCTTTATCGTTTTCAGACATGAGATATGCTATCATCACAACAAACTTCATCAAAATCTGTCCAGCGATTTTCTCGTGATGCGTTTCCAGACAGACAAAAATTCAAAAACCTATATATTCGGCCTCTGTATCAATAATAATGACTATTACAGTAAGATTTTCCAAAAAATATTTAATGTACAGATTCGTCTCATTTAGAATTTTATTATATGTATATATAGAATTTTATTATATGCATAACGTTACACGTATCAAATAACGAAATCAAATTTTCAATCAAATCAGGTGTTCTATACATTAACTTCATTAAACTAATAATTAATATTATTATGCTAAAGTTTGTAAGTGAATATGTTTGTTATTCCGGATATAATTTTAATATAGTTTGGATTGGAATTTTTTTTACTATTCGATATCACTTTCTACCAGTATACCTACATCCATACTTAATATTATAAATGTGAAAGTGTGTTTGTTTGTGTGTTTGTTTGTCTTTCTTTCATGACGAAACGGAGTGACGAGTTGGCGTGATTTTTGGTGTGAAGTTGGAGAGCTGGAGAGTGACATAGGCTATTTTTTATCGCGAGATATCATCTCATTCCCATGGGGAAATAGGTTATAATACAACCCAAAAAATATTTATGATCCGAATTACTTGAAATTTGGTGTTAATGCTCTTCATTACAATTAAAGAAATACGAGTTTTTACATTTTGCGAAATTCATCCCATAAGGGGGTAAAATAGGGAATGAAAGTTTGTATGACACCTACCTTTTTAAAGTTTTTGTAGTTTTATCGCGAGCGAAGCCGCGGGTTCTGCGAGTATATAATATTTTATTATTATGTTGTCTTTTTATGTTAATTAATTTATAATAAAAATCATTTGACTTAATGTGTCAATCTCTTTCTTTGCTAAAATGTATTCTATCTCTACATTCTACGTGACAATGTTAAAATAATTTGTGCTCAACTGGAAAGTTTAAAGCCAATAACAAGAAAATTTAATTGAAATATTTTATTTTACGTTACGTTTATATTACGTAAGTTAAAACATAACATAAATTAAATGTTTGACGCTACCCAAGGCAGTGGTAGCTCAGTGCTCGCATCTCTGATATTTTCATATGCGAATCATTTCCAACATGATTACCACTTGTTTTAACGATGAAGGAAAACATCGTGAGGAAACCTGCACGTCTGAGAGAACCCAGCAAGTTTTCAAAATACATATGAAGTCCACCAACCCGCACTTGGCCAGCATGATGGACTATGGCCTGATTCCCCTCATACTGAAGGGAGGCCTGTGCCCAGTAGTGAGACGTTAAAAAGGGTTGAATACGCTACGGAACCCTCTGTGTGCGAGTCAGGCTTCCACTTGCCTGATTTTTATAACGAAACCGTACGTTGCTTTATATAACGTGTGGTTTTAAACTATTAGTAAGAATTTATCCGATTTTCCAATATTCTTTCGTTTGCGGTCGCAGCAACACTGCGTACTATTTTCAACTTCCAAAGTGGAATTAAGAGGAAATAAAGTCGGCTGTCCACCTGTAGGGAAATAAAAATATGTACATATCGCTATACTTTCAGTCATCTTATAATATTACTAGCGACTCACCCTCGCTCCGCTCGGGTTTGTCCCTGCTTACCTTTTAACGTTTAGTATAGATTTCTCAGAGATGAAATATTTTCGCGCAGTAAAAAGTATCCTATATATTGACCCAGAAAACCGGGTACCAATATACCAAATTTCATCAAAATCCCTCCTGTGGTTTTTCCGTGATGCGGTAACAGACAGACAGACAGACAAAAATTCTAAAAACTATAGATTCGGCCTCTGTATCGATAATAATGACTATTTCAATAAAATTTTCCAAAAAATATTTAATGTACAGATTCGGCTTAGTTAGAATTTTATTATATGTATAGATTAACTGCTTCGGTGGTCTAGTGGCTAGTATGTACGGTTGCAGATTCGGAGGTACTGGGTTCGAGTCCTGGCTTTGGCCAAGTAACTGAGTTTTTCTGTTAAGATATTCTCAGTAACAGCCCGGAGTATTATACTTTCCAATTAAGAAAAAGATTAATAAGTGAAAAAGCAAACGTGTAATTTGACTACTATTATATATACAAATTTTTGTGTATGTTTGTTACTACTCTGTAATGGATAGATGAATTTGCATGAACTTTAGTACAAAGCTAATCTTTGACCTGGAGTAGCACAAGGGCTACGGTTAGACACGAGCGAAGCGAGGGTAAGTAGCTAGTGTTTAGCTATAATTCACAAAAAATATGATAGCAAATATAGGTATATAATCAAAATGTGGGTAATCGTAAATCTATACAGATAAATAAAATTGAAGTGTCTGTTTGTAATGTCAAAAAAACAGCATTTAACTAAATGTATATAAAATTATATAGATACGGTACATATAAGAAAAACACATTTTTTAAAAATTTTTGTCTGTCTGGCAACGTGTTATAACACTCTAACTTTAAAGTTATTTTTACAAGTTTGTAGAAGTAAACTTCTGCACTTATCAGTATTAGCTATCTACTCTGATATATGTACCTAGATAGCATTTCCCAAAGAAGTTAAAAGAAAATTTGCGGGCCAGAAATATGAATAATAGTTTCTACCATACAAAATTAACACCACAGTATAGCGTTATAAATTTAGTGGACAAAAGCAGTGTTATCTCAGAACAAGAGGGATTCTTTTTAATTAAATGTCACTAAGTTCAACTTTATGACGTCGAGGGGACTTATGACAAATGTTTAGTGCTAATGAATGAAACTTTTTCGGGTCAAACGCGGAACAACTTACTTTTGACCCTTAACCTCCTGCCTACCAGAGACACTTTTTTTGGAGTACGCTCTTGAAATTTTAGTATAATATCGGTAATAGGGTATTATATGCTGGAAAAATAGTAAAAAAAATCCTATATCTGGAAAAACGGTTTTTCACTATGTCCTATATGTAGGACAAAGTGACTATATTACTATGTGATTTGTGTAGGACATAGAATAGTTTATAAATATAAATTGTAATTAGAAAAGAAATAAAACACAAATACAACATATTGTAACCTTTATATTATATATAGGCATTATAAAGTTTTTGAAAAAAACAAAAAGAAAACTTCTTCTAAATAAAACTTTCAAAATTAAACATTTCTTTTCATAAAAATAACTAAATATTATTATGACCTTACAAATCAGTCGCAATTAGGAATATATTTAGATATTAATTAAGTTTTATCGACACTTATACCCTACCACTTATTATTACTCTAAGTTTTGGTGAAAATCGGAATAACAATTCCTATTTGGCGTGAAGCAGAGATTAATATCACATTTTTTGCAAAATACTGTAGTTTTTTAGATGGGCAAATGTAGTATAACCTGATAAATCACCACGTCACAAACTGCGCCTTGCGGCGTAGCAAGAACCTTCAGCCCAACAGGGTTCGGTTTGTTAGGACAGTATTGGTGCATCGGATATTTTCCAGTAAACGGATTAATCATTTCGTCAATATTCTTGGGCCGGTTTTGTTCGTGACGCATCTCCAAGATTCGATTAAACAGCGGCTGTATTTTCCTTTTTTTTTTGTATCTTCTGTTCTGCTGTCACTTCAGCATCATAAACACACTTCAGCCGTCGTCTGATAAAAAGAATCTGTTCCTTGTCATAGCTATTGCAACTATGGGAACTTTCCACTTTTCTGACCAGTACATATCAATTTGTGGATACTGCAGTACTGACATTATCATTGTTATTCCTATATTCTGAATCTAATGTATCCTTGGTCCAGGTATCTTGAAAGCCATCATTATGTTGACGATTCCTAATTGCAATCTGGTGGGTTGACAAAGGCGACGATTGCGGCCATGGAGTATTCTCGCTCAAACTGAGACCACGTCCACGAACGCGGCCACGTCTATATCCACGTGAAACACTGCTGCCACGTCCTTTTGAGCGGGCCGTGATGACGTCGATGCGATATCAGAACTGCTAGAGAACGCCGGGGAAGCAGCTGCAGGAACCAATGTGTTTCCCTCTTCATCTGAACTGCTTGACTCACTGATTTGATGATCATTGGCTGTTTGGTTAAGTTCTGGCGGCACAAACTTCGAATCTTCATCTGAATCATCTCCCGAAAATTCAAACTCAGAATCGTTTAAAGCCTCCGCTATTCCATTGTCCGTTAAAACTCGAACAAACATAATTAAGATAAAATATCTATCAATGTACTTTATATAGTACATCGGAAGTCTAAGTACTAAAACTTTTATTGCCTACATTTGTCTTCTGCAAAGGACATAAAAAAATACAATACGTTGTCTTGCATGTTTTATACAATTACGCGAAAATACAACTGCATATCATCATTTTAAACTTCTTATTACTTTACTATCGCAAAAAATCCAATAAAAATTTAGATTTACATAAGATTTAAATCGATTAACTTACCTCTGCGCGCAAGCATCGACCCATGTCTGTCTTCCATTGCCATTTTGAAAAAAGAGGATCAAATGGGAACTGACATTTATCTCTATTTGGAAACCCAGATAGTCGATAGATGTCACCACGCAAATATTTTGAGATTACCATTTTAAAAACCGGTAGTATATTTTTTTAATTCCTATGTCCTGGCTGTAGTACAGATGTAGGCAGGAGGTTAAAGCTATAAGTAAGGGTTTCGAGCGTAAATGTCTTTTTGTTTGTTTGATATAAATGACTTAAATTAACCGACTTTAAAAACAGGAGACACTCAATTTGTGTGTATGTTTTTGTGCATTTTATGTGATGTTTTCGCTTATTGTTAAGCGATTTTCATTATTATTTTTTGATGAAATGCTTTAATGATGGTTCAAAGTAAATTTATTTCTAAGAAATCTTCACTTTGGAATCACTTATTAAAGTAATAATTGAAATAATAGCTACTTCGAAGTAAGTCATCCGTATAGCGGTTTTACCAAATCGGTTTTCGTATACGGTTTGTCAAATAAACGAATTGGTTTTTTTAATCATGTCATATTTACATACGTATTCTGGATACCGTATACAAGAACCATTTTGGTAAACCACAACTGGTGAACTCGTTGTCAGTTGTGGTTTTTTTTAATTTATATAGGATCAAATTTTGTTCATTTAAAAAAAGAATTATCAACGTGCGTTCACCTTGTGGTGTTGGGGTGGGGGAAGGGGGGGGGGGGTTGCTGGCTCAGTAGTACCATTCGGGTTGCTCCTGTTACTTCTCTGATAGCAGAGTGGACCTTGGAGCAACCCCATGGTTGTTGTGGTCTGCTTCGGCAGACCTGCCGTCGAGGCGTCTTAGTTGAATGCGTAAGCGATCCTGCGACGCCCTATTAAGACGGGGGAAGTTTTTTTGGGTTTTAGTGGGTAGTACTGGTTTTGCCAGTGAGTCCCACATCTCGTGCGTAAATGCATTTCCCAACGTTAAAAAAAAGGTGAGTCATGTAAGTTATCACGGAAGAACTATGTTGTTTTCTTTAGTGGCTTAGATTTGCGTCAACAGACGCAATACATTCTGCCAGTGACACCTATTGTGAGGAAGACACGAATGAGCTCGAAAGGTAATTTTGAAAATTAGCAGCTATAACGTGGAATAAAAACTATAAATAAATGATCGGTCTACAGGAGCAACCTACAACGATAAAAAGATAACGGTACAGTACAATAATTGCACAATGATTGAAAATAAATAAATAATGAGATTATGTACATATATTATAATTTAATGCTATTATCTACTATAAATCAAAGAACTATTGTAAAAACACGCCGTATAAACGTAAAATTTGACGTGTTGTAGTGCGGTTTGTACTTCACTATTAAATCTTTAAAAATCCCCTTACGCAAATTAATTGTCATTTAACGATTACACTGGCACGCGTGCAGCACTTAATCGAGTAATTATACGCCAAAATGCCTTACATAATTTTGGACCACCACAGCAAGGAAACTGGCTTTCAAATGAAAAAAGCCGCATCGAAATCGGCCCATCCGTTTGAAGCTACGATGCCACAGACAGACACACAAACACACAGACAGACGTCGACGTCAAACTTCTAACACACCTTTTGACGACACGTTTGGCTCAGTGTGTACTTGCTATGCCAGCGGTCGCGGGTTCGAGTCTGTACTCAGTCATGGCTGTTTATATTCATAATATGTGTGTCTTTAAAGTTTATATATGTGTAGTGTATCGACTATCTGGTATCCATAACACAAGCCTCGTAGCTTACCATGGAACTAGATGGTGCCGTGTGTTAATGTCCCAACATATTTATTTATTTTATTTATATCATGCTAGATTAAGAGATACATTTCACAAGTAGCAAAAATTCATTAGACTTAAATATGGAAAGGCCTCAGATATTTGCTATTACAACTTACTAACTCATACCTCATTCTCTTTCATATCGCCGTTACTTTAACTTATAATGAATAATCATAGAATATATTTTATCTAAGTTAAAAGCTTTTGACAGTATATAGTTACTTCACTTACTCGTATAATGCTATTAGTTAAATAGAAACACTTTACGTGAGAGTTTTAGTGATGTTTTGTGTAACATTAAACACTTTTACTTAGTTTTTAAGTACACAAATATTTTTTTACATTAGGAAACGCACTTAGGCATACGACCTGCATACATATAAGTGGTTATGTGAGACTCACCGGCAAAGCCAGTACTACCCACTCAAGCCCAACGGAACCTCTCCTGTCTTAATCGGGCGTCGCAAGATCGCTTACGCACTCAACTACTACGCCCCGACGGCAGGTCAGTTGAAGCACACCACAACAACCATGGGATTACTCCAACAGTCCATTCTGCTAAGCTGCTGAGAGAAGTACCAGGAGTAACCAGCATAGCACACCGCCCACTGAGGTGGATCGCCACCCAGTGCGTTTTTTGGATTCGCGCCCTGCTGGATTGCCGAACACTATAAACGGATTCCGATTGGTCTAGACTTATAAAATTAACCTAAAACATTGAATGTTTGACATACATGAACGCATTGCGATCTTTGCGCTACAAAACTTGTTATACATTCGTGTACAAATAAATACAACTAGCATTGCCCGCGGCTTCGCCTGCGTTCAGATGACTAAAAACCTAAATCTTAGGTTTTACATATTAGTCTCTACTCTTACATTGCAGTTTTTGTATTTTTTCTCAGAAATGAGATATTTTCCCGTGGTAAAAAGTATCGTATATGTTGACCCGGATTACCAGGTATCACCATACCAAATTTTATTAAATCCCTTCAGTAGATTTTCTGTGATGCGATAACAGACAGACAGACAAAAATTCTAAAAGCTATAGATTCGGCCTCTGTATCGATATTAATGTTTATTTCAATAAGATTGTGGCTTGTGTTATGGATACCAGAATGTTGATACAATACACATATATAACTTTAAATACATACATATTATTATAAATATAAATAAAGGCTAGTTATAAATACAACATTTTTGAAAAATTGATTTAAGAATTTAAGGTATTAAGAACAATATATTTTAGAGAGAGAAGATTATTTTAAGGAAAATAATAGAGGTGTAAACGGCAAAAACATATACCTATGTAAATCAGTCGTACAGAGACGAGAATTGAATGAAGTTATACTCAATCCTCTACTTGAATTCATTTAAGTAGAATTTCAGTTAGCATTGCATTTATAATGCAGTCAGTGGTGCGGCGAACGTAGATCACAGACTCAATGGGCAAATGATTATAGAATCGATATTACGTCCGATACAATTGTTATTTATACTTGCCACGCGATTATTTATGACTCGAGTTGTCATAATCGATTATGTATAATTCACTAATCAATTTTTTATATTGAAATTAAATATAAATACATGTTTACAACCAATCTACTATAAATAAATGCCGTTCTAAATAAAAATATCTTTTCGGATTTTTTCGCTGATTTATTTTAATTTTTGATTTCAGACGTTTCCTATGATTTAGAACAATCATGGTCACGGGAGAGACTAAGGTTATTATTACAGACAGTATCTACCCACAAGATTACAAAATGATTTCAAAAATACAAAAATGGCACCAAAGCACCTCACAATATTTGTTAATTTTAATTTTAAACATTTTTTATAATTTTAATAAGTCATCACCTGAGAATGGCTTGACTAATTTGGCATTTTTTTATATATTCGTAATAGAATGAGGTATTATAATATAGGAAATTCGGGATAACTGAATATCCTTTTTTCTATGGATTTTTTGTACGAACTGTAATATTTGATTAGAAACGTTATTGACAGGACAGGACAACGTCTTGTGGGTCAGCTATTATGTTAATATTATTAGATATTGATCTTCATTTGTAATTTCTGTTTCACCGTTTCTTTGGTGAGATACAAAAGGAACCTCTACAGTCCATAAAAGTAGTATCGAATTTGTTTTTTTTATTTATATAAATCCCTCTGATATATTATTTTACTAGCAACTCACCCTCACTCCGCCTGGGTTCGTCGATAGTTACTTATTAATGTTTAGTATAGATATCTCAGATGAGATATTTTCCCGCAGTAAGTTAATCCGAATATTATATTAAATTTTGTCAAAATCTGTCCAGTGATTTTCTCTCGATGCATTCCTAGACAGACATACAGACAGGCAAAAATCGAAAAACTATGTATTAAGCCTCTGTATCGATAATAATGAGTATATCTGTATCTATGTATGTATTCTGTGTCGATTATAATGAGTACCTATGTAAAACTTTCCAAAAAAATATTTAATAACAGATTCGACTCAGAATTTTATTATACATATGTATAGGTTTTCATATAATTTTGAAACTATTAGAAACTGTCGACTTTCTTCCTGATATATTATACAGGTGTGTAATTTTTCCAACGAATAACGGATGTGATTAATGGCTTTCCGTGACTCCTTAGAGTAATTTTTAGATATTCCTTACCTGACCCACTGAAACAGACTTCCTGGAAAATGTTTTCTTATTTTCTTTTAACATTCTTGTACACTGCAACATATTGTTAACTAGGTTTTGTCCGCGGCTTCGCTTACGCGATAAGCGAGTCGGGATCAAGTGTTGCCTATGTCCGATCCCTGGTTTCAATCCTTGCCAAATTTGATCGAAATCTGGTTAATGGTTTAAGCGTGAAAAGATAACAGACAGATCACAGAACTACTTTCATATTTATAATATTACTAGCAACTTACCCGTGCTCCGCTTGGGTTTGTCCCTACTTACGTTTTAAAAGTTAGTACATATTTTTCACAGATGAGATATTTTCTCACAGTAAAAAGTATCTTATGTGTTGACCCGGATAACCATCTATTATGATACCAAATTTCATTAAAATTCCCCCAGTAGTTTTTCCTTGATGCGGTCACAGACAGACAGATAAAAATTCTAAAAACTATAGATTCGGCCTCTGTATCGATAATAATGAGTATTTCAATAATATTTTCCAAAAAATATTTAATG